GGAGCCATGGGAAATTCATCCTGTCAGCTCTAGAAATGTTTTTTCAGTAGAGCTTTATCAAGTCTTGTTTTCATTCTGTGCAGAGCTTTATAAAGGGTTTGCTTCACTCTGTATAGAGCTTTATAAAGGGTTTGCTTCATTTCTGTGTAGAGCTTCATAAAGGGTTTACTTCACTCTGTATAGAGCTTTACAAGGTTTGGTTTCACACTGTGTAGAGCTTCATAAAGGGTTTTGCTTCACTCTGTATAGAGCTTTACAAGGTTTTTTTATCTGTGTAAGCTTTATAAAGGGTTTTGTTTCACTCTGTTGTAGAGCTTTATTCAAGGTTTGTTTCACTCTTTTGTAGGCTTTATCAAGGTTTTTTTCCCACTCTGTGTAGAGCTTTATAAAGGTTTGTTTCACTCTGTGTAGAGCTTTATCAAGGTTTGTTTCACTCTGTATAGAGCTTTATCAAGGTTTGTTTCACTCTGTGTAGAGCTTTATCAAGGTTTGTTTCACTCTGTGTAGAGCTTTATCAAGGTTTTTTTTCACACTGTGTAGAGCTTCATCAAGGTTTGCTTACTCTTTTATAGAGCTTTATAAAGGGTTTGCTTCACTCTGTGTAGAGCTTCATCAAGGTTTGCTTCACTCTGTATAGAGCTTTATCAAGGCTTGCTTCACTCTGTGTAAGCTTCTCAAGGTTTGCTTCACTCTGTATAGAGCTTTATCAAGGTTTGTTTCACTCGTGTAGAGCTTTTCAGGTTTGTTTCATCTGTGTAGAGCTTCATCAAGGTTTGCTTCACTCTGTATAGAGTTTTATCAAGGTTTGTTTCACTCTGTGTAGAGCTTTATCAAGGTTTGTTTCACACTGTGTAGAGCTTCATCAAGGTTTGCTTCACTCTGGTATAGAGCTTTATCAAGGTGTTCACCTGTGTAGAGCTTTATCAAGGTTTGTTTCACACTGTGTAGAGCTTCATCAAGGTTTGCTTCACTTCTGTATAGAGCTTTTATCAAGGTTTGTTTCACTCTGTGTAGAGCTTTATCAAGGTTGTTTCACACTGTGTAGAGCTTTATCAAGGTTTGCTTCTCTGTATTAGAGCTTATCAAGGCTTTGCTTCACTCTGTGTAGAGCTTCACAAGGTTTTTTACTCTGTTTTAGAGCTTTTATCAAGGTTTGTTTCACTTGTGTAGAGTTTTAAATCAAGGGTTTGTTTCACTCTGTGTAGAGCTTCATCAAGGTTGCTTCACTCTGTATAGACTTTATCAAGGTTTGTTTCACTCTGTGTAAGCTTTATAAAGTTTGTTTCACACTGTGTAGAGCTTCATCAAGGTTTGTTTCACTCTGTATAGAGCTTTATCAAGGTTTGTTCACTCTGTGTAGAGCTTTATCAAGGTTTTGTTTCACTTTGTGTAGAGCTTTATCAAGGTTTGTTTCACTTTGTGTAGAGCTTTATCATTTTTTTACCGTGACTTGAGGAACTACACAGGGTGCGTGGAGAGAGGAGAGAGAGAGAGAGAGAAGAGAGAGAGAGAGAAAAGAGAAGAGAGAGAGAGAGAGAGAGGAGAGAAGGGGAGAGAGAGAGAGAGAGAGAGAGAAAGAGTGAATCCTTCTATTTACTAGAAGTGCGTGAGCTGTAACGGTGTGATCATCTGTTAGACAGTATGATCATTCATTCTTGGTAAGCAACAGGTGTAACTTTACCCCTGTGGTTTCCCGTTACAGCTGTAACGTCTATCATCCACGACCTTCCCTACCGCGTAAGATGATAGACACAGACAGGCATACTAAACAGACGCACATACAGACACAGACATCAGACACAGACAAGTTATGAGCATTAATAAGGGTCCTCTGAGAGGGTATCCCCAAGATTTCACTGTGTTAACTTGGGAACGCCTCTTCTGCTCGGCTTGAACTTTCCAGCTGGTGCATCTAACTTGGACGAGGTTTGAATTGTTTCAGGGCAATTTTCTACTCCTTTTTTTATAGCAAATAGTTTTGTATTTTTCTTTTTCCCGCCATAGCATGATAATGCCTCTTCAGTTCGGCTTCAAACTTTTCAATGCTGCTTGATCTTAGAAGGTTCACTAGAGTTTTAGACTGTGTAGGCACAGATCTGTTCGCTTTACAAAATATAGTGACAAAAGTACTTGGGTTCCTTGTGGTAACCAGAGAATGTTGCTTCCGTTCTGCTTGAAGCTTTCAATGGCGGTGTTGCTTGTTCAAAGCAAATTTTGCCTCGTATTGTGTTGTGTAAGTCCAACCTTTTTATTTAAAAAAAAATAAATAGACAAAATTAAGATTCCAGTTTTTAATAAATCAATTGATTTTAGATGAAATGCTCCAGCACATCCTCATGTATAATATAGTATATTATATATATATATATATATATATATATATATATATATATATATATATATATATATATATTATATTATATATATATATATATATATATAAAACTGTATTTCCGGCATATAAGACGCACGATCATATACGTAAAAGACTATGTTTACAAGCAGTTGTAATGTAACGTTAGTAAACAACTGCTAAACTGTAACCCAAAGCTTACCCTTGGTCCTGACCTTGAGCATATAAGGCGCAGGATGATTTTCTAAGACCTTTTTTGTGGGGGGAAAAAGGTGCGCCTTATATGCCGGAAAATACGGTAACCAATGAAGTACAGGTAGATCACTACTGGTCTCTGTGGCAGTGAGAATCACTCGATCACATCCACTTGTGATCCTCTTTCTAATTTAGAGCAAAATTATCTGGACTTAATATAAATTTCATTTAATCTATTTAAAATTTAACATTGTTTATCAAGGTTGACTTCCAGCCCTGGTCTTTTAAGAGTGTTGATCTAAACTCCTGGTCCTCTTGACTGTGATAATCTATACTCCTGGGTCTTGACTCTAATGATCTGGACATTTCGAGGGTGTTAAGCGACAGGTGGCAGCTCTTGGGCCTCTCAAAGGCACTTATCTTCAGCTTCTGGGCCATAATTGATTTATAGTTCCTGGGTCTCTTGAGTTGAGGTACAGCTCCTGGGTCTCCTGAGGAAGTTGACCTACAAGCTCACCATAATTATCTCAACCTCGAGGAAAATATAGGATGAATAATGAACGCTTTCAAACAAGATATTTTTAATCCTCTCTGAGTTACTTATTCTCTCTAGGCTGGAATATTGTTGTTCACTAACAACCTCTAACAGCAGGTGAGATTGCGGATCTAGAGAATGTACAGAGAACTTTCACTGCATATATAATTTCTGTCAAACATCTTAATTACTGGGAACTTTTTTGAAGTTCCTTGACATGTACTGACTGGAATGTATTGGAAAAAAATGTATCGCAATTTGCACCTGGAAGATCGTAGTGGGATTGGTCCCAAATCTGCGCAAAGAAATCACTCCCTACGAAAGCAAAAGGCTAGGCAGATAATGGATTATACCCCAGTGAAAGGAGTGCCGTGTGTGCACTGAGACGTAATAAGTGTCAGGAGCCCAAGACTGTTGAACAGTTTCTCATCATACAAAAAGGGGATCACCAATAAACCCTTGGAGATCTCTAAGAGGGACCTGGATAAGTTCCTAAAGCCAGCTCCTGATCAGACGGTCCGTGGTTTTGTACGTTGGACTGTGTATGATAAGTAGTAAACAGCGTGGTTGATCAAAGGTTCCTGATCACCGGGAGGCCTAGTCATGAACCCGGGCCGGGTGTTATCCCCTGACCGCCCTCCAGGTAGACTCCAGGCAGGTGAACCACTCTTAGGCTTCCTAGAACTGATCTGCAGTTCCTAGGTTTTTTGAAGAAGTTGAGCAGCAGCTCCTGGGTCTAACAGACTTGAATTGCAGCTTATGGGTCACTTGAGGGAGTTGGAGTGCAGCTCTTGTGCTTCCTGGGGGTTTTGAGGTACAGTTCCCAAGCATTTTGGACGGGTTAACAAAGAGGGCGCTGGGACAGTGTCTCATCTTCGTATTTCACTGTTCAGACAGTCACATGTTAGGAGAGTTCCTTGACGGAGTGGTGGAAGCAAAGGAAACAACTGTAGACTTTCGAGGCGTATTGTTTTTGTAGAGAAGCGCAGCCTTCAAAGTCCACCCATTTGCTGTGCCTAGTCGAATCTGAGGGGAAGCCTCTCGGCCTGTGTGAGGTACAAACAGCAGTCACGTGACTAAGGGTTGGCCAGAGAGCCTGTCTATAAATGTTGCTAGGAGATATCTATGTAAATTACATAACACTGTTGACACAAACGGTGGACTGTTAATGAACAGTAAACAGTGACTTTCCGACTACTTTCTAGCACGCTCGTTGTGTCCTGTTTTCTGTCCATCCGACAACCTTTAATTTACAGTTGTGTTATACTGATTGACATTGTGGGATGTTGTAACTGGTTAATTATTATTAACAGACGAAATCTAACCTAATCAACCCTAACTTAATTCAGAAAACATAAATTGAGAGATTTAATGAATATGGTGATACGGGGAAAAATCAATGTGCTGCAGCCACTGACAAATGCGTCCTCAACAGTGACATATTAACTGAAACAGTCAGACTCATCACATGACCTATGCACACAGCGGCCATGTGGTATCATTTCCTCCATACATGTATGAAATTCTTAACTGATCACAGTCCAGATAACTGAATGCGCAAACATCTGACGATGTGATCTGAAAGGGCCCAACTTTTACGCCTTACCAGAGATAATGCGTATTTTAATGCGAAGTGTGCAGGTTCGAATCCTGCTGTGGACTGATATATATATATATATATATATATATATATATATATAATATATATATATATATATATTATATATTATATATATATATATTTAGGTTTCAAGTTTGTGGTGAGCTGAACGTGTGTTAACTTTGATACAAACATTAATTTACATGCTGACACATCCTCAAAAGTATTCTTTGAATATATAAATTTGAAATGGTTCAGCATGAACTGTTCCATCAGAGCACAATATTTCACATAACTGCAAATAAACAACATATAACCTGGTTTTCTCAGAGAAGTGACGTAGTTTTTAAGTCAGGAGAACACTGCCAAGACCGTCCACGTACTCCTTCCTTCAACTGAATCTGAGACACCACTATCTTGTGTGGTGCTGGGGCACCCACACTGCGCCAGTTCAGTGCGCACACCGTCTGCGCACTGACACGGATGGTGGATATAAACTTAGGCAAAACGCGGGAAATTGTGGTTAACGCGGGGAAATTGTGGTTACCTGCTCGAATGATGCGCCAGAGACTGGTGACTGGCAACTGCAGGAACACGAGACTCGTATGTCTTGGTGACCCAGCGATATTATGTGGGACAACAATGTTCTGAAGTGGTGATGGAGGAAGACACAAGATAACGATGCTTTGAACTGGAGTGATGGAGGAAGACACAAGACAACGATGTTTTGAACTGGAGTGATGGAGGAAGACACAAGATAACGATGTTTTGAACTGGAGTGATGGAGGAAGACACAAGATAACGATGTTTTGAACTGGAGTGATGGAGGAAGACACAAGACAACGATGTTTTGAACTGGAGTGATGGAGGAAGACACAAGACAACGATGTTTTGAACTGGAGTGATGGAGGAAGACACAAGATAACGATGTTTTGAACTGGAGTGATGGAGGAAGACACAAGATAACGATGTTTTGAACTGGAGTGATGGAGGAAGACACAAGACAACGATGTTTGAACTGGAGTGATGGAGGAAGACACAAGATAACGATGTTTGAACTGGAGTGATGGAGGAAGACAATATAACGATGTTTTGAACCGGAGTGATGGAGGAAGACACAAGACAACGATGTTTTGAACTGGAGTGATGGAGGAAGACACAAGACAACGATGTTTTGAACTGGAGGTGATGGAGGAAGACACAAGACAACGATGTTTTGAACTGGAGTGATGGAGGAAGACACAAGATAACGATGTTTTGAACTGGAGTGATGGAGGAAGACACAAGATAACGATGTTTTGAACTGGAGTGATGGAGGAAGACACAAGACAACGATGTTTTGAACTGGAGTGATGGAGGAAGACACAAGACAACGATGTTTTGAACTGGAGTGATGGAGGAAGACACAAGATAACGATGTTTTGAACTGGAGTGATGGAGGAAGACACAAGATAACGATGTTTTGAACTGGAGTGATGGAGGAAGACACAAGACAACGATGTTTTGAACTGGAGTGATGGAGGAAGACACAAGATACGATGTTTTGAACTGGAGTGATGGAGGAAGACAATATAACGATGTTTTGAACCGGAGTGATGGAGGAAGACACAAGACAACGATGTTTTGAACTGGAGTGATGGAGGAAGACACAAGACAACGATGTTTTGAACTGGAGTGATGGAGGAAGACACAAGACAACGATGTTTTGAACTGGAGTGATGGAGGAAGACACAAGACAACGATGTTTTGAACTGGAGTGATGGAGGAAGACACAAGACAACGATGTTTTGACTGGAGTGATGGAGGAAGACACAAGACAACGATGTTTTGAAACTGGAGTGATGGAGGAAGACACAAGACAACGATGTTTTGAACTGGAGTGATGGAGAAAGACACAAGACAACGATGTTTTGAACTGGAGTGATGGAGGAAGACACAAGACAACGATGTTTTGAACTGGAGTGATGGAGGAAGACACAAGATAACGATGTTTTGAACTGGAGTGATGGAGGAAGACAAATATAACGATGTTTTGAACCGGAGTGATGGAGGAAGACAAAAGACAACGATGTTTTGAACTGGAGTGATGGAGGAAGACACAAGACAACGATGTTTTGAACTGGAGTGATGGAGGAAGACACAAGACAACGATGTTTTGAACTGGAGTGATGGAGGAAGACACAAGATAACGATGTTTTGAACTGGAGTGATGGAGGAAGACACAAGACAACGATGTTTTGAACTGGAGTGATGGAGGAAGACACAAGACAACGATGTTTTGAACTGGAGTGATGGAGGAAGACACAAGACAACGATGTTTTGAACTGGAGTGATGGAGGAAGACACAAGACAACGATGTTTTGAACTGGAGTGATGGAGGAAGACACAAAATAACGATGTTTTTGAACTGGAGTGATGGAGGAAGACACAAGACAACGATGTTTTGAACTGGAGTGATGGAGGAAGACACAAGATAACGATGTTTTGAACTGGAGTGATGGAGGAAGACACAAGACAACGATGTTTGAACTGGAGTGATGGAGGAAGACACAAGACAACGATGTTTTGAACGGGAAAGTGATGGAGGAAGACACAAGACAACGATGTTTTGAACTGGAGTGATGGAGGAAGACACAAGACAACGATGTTTGAACTGGAGTGATGGAGGAAGACACAAGACAACGATGTTTTGAACGGAGTGATGGAGGAAGACACAAAGACAACGATGTTTTGAACTGGAGTGATGGAGGAAGACACAAGACAACGATGTTTTGAACTGGAGTGATGGAGGAAGACACAAGACAACGATATTTTGATCTGGAGTGATGGAGGAAGACACAAGATAACGATGTTTTGAACTGGAGTGATGGAGGAAGACACAAGATAACGATGTTTTGAACTGGAGTGATGGAGGAAGACACAAGATAACGATGTTTTGAACTGGAGTGATGGAGGAAGACACAAGATAACGATGTTTTGAACTGGAGTGATGGAGGAAGACACAAGATAACGATGTTTTTGAACAGGAGTGATGGAGGAAGACACAAGATAACGATGTTTTGAACTGGAGTGATGGAGGAAGACACAAGACAACGATGTTTTGAACTGGAGTGATGGAGGAAGACACAAGATAACGATGTTTTGAACTGGAGTGATGGAGGAAGACACAAGACAACGATGTTTGAATGGAGTGATGGAGGAAGACACAAGATAACGATGTTTTGAACTGGAGTGATGGAGGAAGACACAAGACAACGATGTTTTGAACTGGAGGTGATGGAGGAAGACACAAGACAACGATGTTTTGAACTGGAGTGATGGAGGAAGACACAAGACAACGATGTTTTGAACTGGAGTGATGGAGGAAGACACAAGACAACGATGTTTTGAACTGGAGTGATGGAGGAAGACACAAGATAACGATGTTTTGAACTGGAGTGATGGAGGAAGATACAAGACAACGATGTTTTGAACTGGAGTGATGGAGGAAGACACAAGATAACGATGTTTTGAACTGGAGTGATGGAGGAAGACACAAGACAACGATGTTTTGAACTGGAGTGATGAGAGGAAGACACAAGACAACGATGTTTTGAACTGGAGTGATGGAGGAAGACACAAGACAACGATGTTTTTGAACTGGAGTGATGGAGGAAGACACAAGACAACGATATTTTGATTGGAGTGATGGAGGAAGACACAAGATAACGATGTTTTGAACTGGAGTGATGGAGGAAGACACAAGATAACGATGTTTTGAACTGGAGTGATGGAGGAAGACACAAGATAACGATGTTTTGAACTGGAGTGATGGAGGAAGACACAAGATAACGATGTTTTGAACTGGAGTGATGGAGGAAGACACAAGATAACGATGTTTTGAACTGGAGTGATGGAGGAAGACACAAGACAACGATGTTTTGAACTGGAGTGATGGAGGAAGACACAAGATAACGATGTTTTGAACTGGAGTGATGGAGGAAGACAAAGACAACGATGTTTTGAACTGGAGTGATGGAGGAAGACACAAGACAACGATGTTTTGAACTGGAGTGATGGAGGAAGACACAAGACAACGATGTTTTGAACTGGAGTGATGGAGGAAGACACAAGACAACGATGTTTTGAACTGGAGTGATGGAGGAAGACACAAGATAACGATGTTTTGAACTGGAGTGATGGAGGAAGACACAAGATAACGATGTTTTGAACTGGAGTGATGGAGGAAGACACAAGACAACGATGTTTTGAACTGGAGTGATGGAGGAAAGACACAAGACAACGATGTTTTGATCTGGGAGTGATGGAGGAAGACACAAGACAACGATGTTTTGAATCTGGAGTGATGGAGGAAGACACAAGACAACGATGTTTTGATCTGGAGTGATGGAGGAAGACACAAGTAACGATGTTTTGAACTGGAGTGATGGAGGAAGACACAAGACAACGATGTTTTGAACTGGAGTGATGGAGGAAGACACAAGACAACGATGTTTTGAACTGGAGTGATGGAGGAAGACACAAGACAACGATGTTTTGAACTGGAGTGATGGAGGAAGACAAAAGACAACGATGTTTTGAACTGGAGTGATGGAGGAAGACACAAGACAACGATGTTTTGAACTGGAGTGATGGAGGAAGACACAAGACAACGATGTTTTGAACTGGAGTGATGGAGGAAGACACAAGACAACGATGTTTTGAACTGGAGTGATGGAGGAAGACACAAGAAACGATGTTTTGAACTGGAGTGATGGAGGAAGACACAAGACAACGATGTTTTGAACTGGAGTGATGGAGGAAGACACAAGTCAACGATGTTTTGAACTGGAGTGATGGAGGAAGACACAAGATAACGATGTTTTGAACTGGAGTGATGGAGGAAGACGCAAGACAACGATGTTTTGAACTGGAGTGATGGAGGAAGACACAAGACAACGATGTTTTGAACTGGAGTGATGGAGGAAGACACAAGACAACGATGTTTTGAACTGGAGTGATGGAGGAAGACACAAGACAACGATGTTTTGAACTGGAGTGATGGAGGAAGACACAAGACAACGATGTTTTGAACTGGAGTGATGGAAAGGAAGACACAAGACAACGATGTTTTGAACTGGAGTGATGGAGGAAGACACAAAACAACGATGTTTTGAACTGGAGTGATGGAGGAAGACACAAGACAACGATGTTTTGAACTGGAGTGATGGAGGGAAAGACACAAAGACAACGATGTTTTGAACTGGAGTGATGGAGGAAGACACAAGACAACGATGTTTTGAACTGGAGTGATGGAGGAAGACACAAGACAACGATGTTTTGAACTGGAGTGATGGAGGAAGACACA